TAGGGTTTAGGGTTTTGGGGTATGGGGTTTAGGGTTTTGGGGTTTAGGGTTTAGGGTTTTGGGGTATGGGGTTTAGGCTTTAGGGTATAGGGTTTAGGATGTAGGGTTAAGTGTTCTTCCTAGGAGTAGGGTAGGTATCCTTTGACGTTTTGGGGCCCTACGGTACTGGACAAGTTCTTCCCAGGAGTAGAGTAGGTAACATTAGATGATCTTTGACGTTTTCCGGATATTATAATCCCTTAGGTAGCCCTTTGACCTTTTGTTGAGGGGGGTCGGAAGGGTCCAGAACAAGCCTATACTGCCTATAAACCGTAAACCCTAAACCCTATAAGCCCTAAACCCCAAGCGTTCGGGTTTGGGGGTAGTGGAGGCTGCAGCTTTGGCTTCGGTAGAGTTACGGGCTTAGCTGTGTAAGGATCCAGGATCAGATCCGGCCCTGGGAATTCGGCCTTGGGGCTTAGGGTTTAATTAGGGTTTAGGGTTTGGGGTTTGGGGTTGGGTTTAATTAGGGTGTAGGGTTAAGGGTTTAGGGCTTCCCCCAGAATAATAGATTGAACTTGTCATCAAGCCTGAACACTGAATTAGAAACATGTAGTACAGGGTGCATGAGCCGTAGAAGCCATGAAACCCGTCTAGATCTCTCCAATGCCCCCATTCTACAACCTGCTGCACCCTAAACCCTAATATTACACCCTAAAGCCCGAAACCCGAGCCCTAAACCCTAAACCCTAACCCTAAGGCCCTAAACCCGGAGCTTATATATGCATATACAATCCTGGCAGGGCCGTTGGGTGCTGACCACGTACGTTCGAACCGGGAGACTCCAATTGGCCCAATGTTTAGTTTTTCACTTAGGGTTTAGGGTTTAGGGTTTAGGGTTTAGGGTTTTCAATCTTATCGGGTTTAGGGTGTAGGGTTTTCAATATTATAGGGTTTAGGGTTTTAGGGTTTTTGTTTTACAAGGGTGCCGGACTTTATTGGGGACCTAAACAAGGAACCCTAATTCAGAGAACTACCCTCATATATTTTGCGGTGTCGGTAGCAACAAGTACCAGACGATGAAAGGGTCTAAATACCAAGCGACGCATAAAGTACGAAAGGGTTCGGGTGCCGAAAAGTACGAAGTCTTGTGGGGCTTTGAAAAGTTCTTGGTTGAAACCTGGACATCTGGGTACGTAGACCTGTAGAGCGGTAGACCTGAAAGTGTCCTAGAGTTCAGGGTTTAGGGTTTAGAGTTTAGGGTTAGGTGTCTAGGAGCCTAAACCCTAAACCCTAAACCCTAAACCCTAGGGTTTTTAGGATCCAGGGCTTTCGTATCTCGCCCCCAGAGGCGCCTCTACCCTGGCCAGCAGGGAGATCCGCGTCAAGGCGCGGCGGCCGGGAGGAATACAGGGGCCTTAATAATTAGAATAGGGTTCCTCTAAGGGTTCCTTTAAAAGGGGTACTATAAAGAGTATGATAAGGGTTTAGTAAAGGGCCTTAATAATCAGAATAGGGGTTTGGGGGTATATTATGCTATAGTTATAGTAAGGAAGCCCCAAGACCCTATTCTAATTATTACGGCCCCTACGTTATGGGTTATTGGTTAGTTTCCTCTACTGTTGTGCAGCGACTTGTCGAAGGTTTTTGGCTGAAGCCTTAACCCTAAACCCTAAACCCTAAACCCCAAACCCTAAACCCTAAACCCTAAACCCTAAACCTTTAGCCCTAAACAAAACCCTAGCCCCCCAGACCTCAACTCAAGGGCCGCTCCGTTTCATGCTAGGGTATCCTTATAGGGTTTAGGGTTTAGGGTTTAGGGTTTAGGGTTTAGGGTAGGGTATCCTTATAGGGTTTAGGGTTTAGGGTTTAGGGTTTAGGGTTTAGGGTAGGGTATCCTTACAGGGTTAGGGTTTGGGGTTTAGGGTTTAGGGTTTAGGGTTTAGGGTAGGGTATCCTTATAGGGTTTAGGGTTCAGGGTTTGTATAACAGGAACAGCAGCAAACGAGTACCTGCGCTATTATCGAAGGGGTCGCGGGAAAGCCAGAATGCTACATGGGTAGTTCTCTAATTTAGGGTCCCTCTTTAGGTCCCCGATATAGTACGACACCCTTATAAAAAGGGCCCCAAGAAGGGACCCTGCTTTAGAAAACTACCCACGTGGCTACAAGCTCCAATCCGACTTGCCGACTTTCCCAAGGAACCTAAACCCTAACCCGCGATTTGCAGACGTTCCAACGGATTTTTGAAACCCTGAATCCTAAAGACTAAGCTGATGGTCTAAACCATGAAGCCCTAAACCCTGGGCAAGGGAAAGAAGGAGCTAGACAAACAAAGCCTCGAAGTATACTATATAGCATACTGTAACAGACTATAACATATATACTGTAATATACTCTAATAACTATAACAGTTAACCCTAAACCCTAAACCCTAAACCCTTACTATAACAGTTAACCCTAAACCCACCCCATTGGACCGCGAGGTGGGAGAGGCTACAACAACTTCGCCAAGGCGAAGCCCCCGGAGCCAATCTCTGTCAGCGCAAGCAACGAGGAGGGCCGGTCCACAGAGTTTTGTGTTTAGGGGTTTAGGGCTTATGGGTTTATAGTTTAGGGCTTTGGGTCTAGGGTTTGGGGTTTAGGGTTTAGGGTTATATATAGGGTCTAGGACCTTAGGATTTAAGTCCATGAGTGTACCTAGATCACTAGAATATCATACTTTGTTGTGGATCTTGGATGGCGTAGGGTAGCGTGCTCGTTGCAGTTGTGTCGCGAGCTTAGGCAGCGAAACAGCGAAACCAGGGCTCCCAGTCAATTGGTGTTGGGCCCATGGAAGCCTACGATCAATCAATGAAGGATTGCTCTATCTTACGGTTCCCTCGAAGGTCTTCGAGGGTCCTGTCTCTTGCAAACTCTATCTGTGGATACAAGTACACTATCTCGAAAGCAAACCAAATGTAGGATGACGTATTACAATTCCCCAACTTGGGCCCCAGCTTGCGCCAGTGTTCCGCTTGCCGCTTATAGCTTTAGATGTCTTGTACCACACTTCTCGAACTTCAAAAGACCTCAAGACCCCAAGCCCTAACCCCTAAACATCCAATATGGGGGGGGCCTTAATGATTACCTACATGATTTTGGGGTTCCTTATTATAAGTATAGCAAAATATACCCCACAATCCTATTCGAATTGTTACGGCCCCTATAGATTAAACCCTTAAGCCCTGAACTTGGACCTAAACCCTAAATCCTAAACCCGAGAGGAGAAGTGGGCCGCCGCATGCCAAGAGCCGCGCACGATCCTGGAAGCTGTGGGTTACAAGGTGCCTTCGGCTTTTGCTTAACATACCCATACCCATAGGCCCTAAAGTAGTTCCTTTTGGGGGTTCATATATAGAATCCGGTAAGGTAATCCCAGAAAGGAACTACTTTGGGGCCTATGGGTAGGCCCCATAGCAGTTCCTTTTTGTGGCTTATATTTAGGACCCTATGAGGTAATCCCCAAAAGGAACTACTATGGGGCCTATGGGTAGGGGCCGCTAAGTCATTACCAATGTCTTCCTTATGGCTCCTTTTGGGGTTTAGGGTTTAAGGGATTAGGGTTCGTTTTGGGGTTTAGCGTTTAGGGGATTAGGGTTCCTTTTGGGGTTTAGGGTTTAGGGGATTAATTAGTATACTATCAAGGAGCCCCAGAACCCGGTTCTCATCACTCAGGCGCGTGTGTTTTGTGGCGCGGAGCCCTAAACCCCATAAGCCCCCAAAACATCCTGCAACCCAAAACCCGAAAAAAGAAAGAGCCTTCCACGATCGGGCTCCAGCGGCTAACCGTCCCTAAACTACCCTAAACTCCTAGACCCTAAACCCCTAAACCCTAAACTCCCTAAACCCCTGAACCCCAAACCTAAAACACCCTAACCCCTAAAACCCAAAACCCTAAATTCCCTAAACTCCTAAATTCCCTCAACCCTAAACCCT